CATGCCAACGCCTACCGTGACACGGGACCTACGTTTTTAAGGTCATATCCGAAAGACCCGTGACTTTCACTTCTAGTGCCGAGCGCTTGGCGAAGGAACAGTCACTACCTATGTTTACGTCTTAGGTATGACGCGGTGCCCCGATCGAGAATCGAACCCGGGCCTCCCGATCACGAAGCGAACGCTCTACCACTAGGCTACCGTGACCGGTACGAGTAATTGATATAGCAAAGTAATTTCATAGGTCCCTGTGACTTTGTTATAACTTTGTTTTACTGTATTTCATAAATTAGTATTATTGTTTTTTAGATGAATTAAACTCCATTTTATTTTCACAGAATGTATGCGATGGGCTGCATCATCGTTTTGAAGGAAAAGGTTACACTATTTATTACAGACAGCAAGGAAACATCATTGAACACCACCAAATAATAAGACTCCAAAGGTGGGAGAATATATGTCATGCAACCATTTATAGATTTTTAATGAAATTACTGCATTATATAAACTTGATATTCCATTTAAAGTAATTTATAAAATCAAAACAACCATTTAGTACCTTAATAATAATGTAGCATAAACTAAAGAATTCTAAATTGATGAATGATAAGTTCTTGTACATGTATATTGTAATTATTATTTTAGGAATAATGGAAAATAAGATATTTAAAGCTGTCAAAAAGCAGAGTTTAGAGTTCAGTGGATTCCATGACGGTACTTTGGATAATGTTAATCAGGCAGCAATTCTTTTCCAAAGGATCTTAAGTGCTTTTAGAAGAGGCTAATAAACAAAGGACAGTCACTTACTACAGAAGAGAAGCAGGGGAGATTAATGATATTCTGAGTGGCATGATTGCACCTTACAAAGATGTAAAACTTTAAAAATTGTGTTTACATATACAATGATTATATGATAAATGTATCTAGTAATCAATATTAATATGATTAATATTTTCAAATGTTTTTTACATTTTACTGTTTATAATGAAAAATAATAATTTGTGTTGTATTTGAATTTGGAAATGTAAAGGAATTTATTTTAAAATGTAAACTGATATTCTAACATGTAAACATGTACTGGCGTATGTAAATGGTGTATTTATTGGACTCTGACAAAAGATGATGCTACTTCTTTTTTGGTGAAATTATTAATCACAATGATTTTTGTGCACATGATTTTTTAGCTCACCTGAGCCGAAGGCTCAAGTGAGCTTTTCTGATCACATTTTGTCCGGCGTCCGTCTGTCCGTCTGTCCGTCTGTCTGTCTGTCTGTAAACTTTTCATATTTTCGACTTCTTCTCAAAAACCACTGGGCCAATTTCAACCAAACTTGCCACAAAGCATCCTTGGGTGAAGGGGATTCAAGTTTGTTCAAATGAAGGGCCACACCCTTATTCAAGGGGAGATAATTGGGAATTAATGAAAATTTGGTGGCATGTTTTAAAAATCTTCTTCTCAAGAACCACTGTGCCAGAAAAGATGAAACTTATGGGGTAACATCCTCAGGTAGTGTAAATTCAAGTTTGTTCAAATCATGACCCCCGGGGGTAGGGCGGGGTCAAAATGGCCGACCAAAGTTTTACATAGAAATATATTGGAAAATTCTTTAAAAATCTTCTCCTCAAGAACCACTGTGCCAGGAAAGATAAAACTTATGGGGTAACATCCTCAGGTAGTGTAGATTCAAGTTTGTTCAAATCATGACCCCCTGGGGTAGGGCTGGGCCAAAATGGCCGACCAAAGTTTTACATAGAAATATATTGGAAAATTCTTTAAAAATCTTCTTCTCAAGAACCACTGTGCCAGGAAAGATGAAACTTATGGGGTAACACCCTCAGGTAGTGTAGATTCAAGTTTGTTCAAATCATGACCCCCGGGGGTAGGGCGGGGCCAAAATGGCCGACCAAAGTTTTACATTGAAATATATTGGAAAATTCTTTAAAAATCTTCTTCTCAAGAATGACAGAGCCATAATTCATCAAATTTATATGGAAGCATCCTCAGGTAGTGAAGATTCAAGTCTGTTCAAATCATGACCCCCTGGGGTAGGGCTGGGCCAAAATGGCCGACCAAAGTTTTACATAGAAATATATTGGAAAATTCTTTAAAAATCTTCTCAAGAATGACTGAGCCATAATTCATCATATTTATATGGAAGCATCCTCAGGTAGTGTAGATTCAAGTTTGTTCAAATCATGACCCACGGGGGTAGGGCTGGGCCAAAATGGCCGACCAAAGTTTTACATAGAAATATATTGGAAAATTCTTTAAAAATCTTCTTCTCAAGAACCACTGTGCCAGGAAAGATGAAACTTATGGGGTAACACCCTCAGGTAGTGTAGATTCAAGTTTGTTCAAATCATGACCCCTGGGGGTAGGGCGGGGCCAAGATTGCCGACCAAAGTTTCACATAGAAATATATAGGAAAATCCTTTAAAAATCTTCTTAAGAAAGACAAACCCATTATTCATCATATTTATATGGAAGCATCTTCAGGTAGTGGAGATTCAAGTTTGTTCAAATCATGACCCCCGGGGGTAGGACGGGGCCAAAATGGCCGACCAAAGTTTTACATAGAAATATATAGGAAAATTCTTTGAAGAATAGTAAATCCATGATTGATCATGGGATTACTTTTGGATTTTAACTTTTCAACAATAAACCAATTTCTACTTTTTCATAGCTACAGTACTCAGGTGAGCGATGTTGCCCATGGGCCTCTTGTTTTAATTTTCTATAGGGTATGGTATCTATGAAAACTACTCAGCCTTTTTGTTTGGCTATTTTTTTAAATCATAGATATATTTTATTTTCTTGATAACTGAAATCCTCAAAAAATGATATTTTGTTGTTTTTTTGTCAACATGAATTATCTCCCCCTTTCAGCTTGAAATTAGAAATAATACTGTTGATATAGATATAATTTGATTATTGAAAATAAATGAATGTGTTGTATTTGGATTTGGAACTATAAAGAAATTGTTTTGAAATGCTATTTATAATTTAACATGCATATTAAATATATACTTGACATTTATTTGACCGTGATGAAAAAGTGAATTTCCCATTTTTGTATAAAACTCTTCAATGGCTTTTGGAAATTAATAATCAATTGCACAAAAATGTTTTTTATATTTTATTTTCCATAAGGTATGGTGTCTAGGAAATAAAGACTGTCTTTCTGTTTGGCTGTAGTGTATTTTTTCTTTAAATTTTTTATCATATAGCTGAATTTAGCTGTAAATCCTTTTAAAATTGAAAATTTCAGTTTTTCTCGACATGGATTATCTCTCCTTTTCAGCTTAAAATTAATTAAAAACTATTACTGGACGTGGTAATAATTGGATTAATTATGAAAAGTAAATAATTTAATTGTATTTGAAAATGGGAATGCATTCCATTGCAATCGATGCTAGTAAACATGCAATATGAACAGTCAGTGCTTTATTGAGAAAGACATATAACGACACGGTGTCTTAATTCTTTTTTAGTAGAATAGAAATAATATGTTGATGCATGATATAATCATCGCTTTCAAAATTTATTGAGCTAAATAATAATTTTTTGACAGCCTTTTCGACCTTAATATTCCCAAACCGGCTTTTTTGCGTTTGAAATATTTTTTGTTCATATAAATGAAAAGTACAATCTAATTAAAATTAGACCTTTCATCTCGCTCTTCGTTTTTAATATGTCGCTACGAAGCGACATATCAAAAACGAAGAGCGAGATGAAAGGTCTAATTTTGATTAGATTGATGAAAAGTAGTACATATATTTTAATTATGTTAAAAGCCACAGGTTATATAAATCCATGTACATAATCTATGACATGCGAAAATAATTATAAAGTGATGAAGAAATTTCCGAAATCCAGTTTGAATAAGCAATAGACACAAGTATTTGTACATGTAATGCATTGCTGCGACAACTAGGTTTGTTTACGTTTACTGCGGATATTCTTCCATTTTTAAATAACCCTTGAAACAAACATGCATGAACAATAGCTGAATAGTCAGAGCCAAGAGGTCCGACACATTATTCCTTTGAGAGACAGAAGGAATTCTGCATATGTAAGGTGTACTTTTATGTATAAAAATAAGTGTATTTTTCCTACTCTGATTTTCTATTTGAAAGTTTGAAATAAATTTTCAAATAAGTCATCGTTCGATCATCATTCCATTTCAAATTCATTTTCATCAGTTTGTACAAACTGGTCCTTCGAATGAGAAAGTATAAATCTATGTCCTGTATCTTAGTAGGTGCTTGCATGAAAAAAAGATCCCTCCCTGCTGAATGGCCTTGATCATGAGTGCGAAAAAAAATGTGTTGCTCCCTACCAGCAAGTTATCACGTCTCCATATGAGTGAAAAATTCCCAAGAGAGACGTAAAATAACATACAAATAATCAATCCTTCATTTTAATCAACTTTTTATATGTACACAGGCTTTGTAATCAGGACCAAGAGGTTAGACACATTATTCCTTTGAGAGACATAATGTATTCTGTATACATGTATGTATTGTGTACTTTTATACATTTATATATATATATTACAAAAAAACGAAACATTTGATACCTGTATCTTCCTCCTGACGTTTTTTGTTTGAAGGTTTGAAATATATTTTCAATTTAGTCATTCATAAACTCCCGTTCAATTGTCTTTCCATGTCATATCCATTTCGATCAGTTTGTTCTTAAACTTAAACCCCGTGGGGATCCGGGTTAAAATAGATCCTCAGTTCCCCCTTGGTTGTCGTAAAAAGCAAATAAATGGGGCGGTCCTTCGGATGAGACCGTATAAACCGAGACCCCGTGTCACAGCAGGTGTGGCACAATAAAGATCCCTCCCTGCTCAAAGGCCCCGAGTGCCGAGCAAAGGCCTAAATTTGCAGCCCTTCACCGGCAATGGTGACGTCTCCATATCAGTGAAATATTCTGGAGAGAGACGTTAAACAGTATACAATCAACCAATCCTTAAACTAAACTTAAACATTTGGTTTACCGGTTCAACAACATCATTTAATTCAATGTTAAATCATTGCAATATTGATCCATAAATTAAATGAAAAAAAGATAATTGAATATACAAGTTAAAGGCTTTTTTAAATGTGCATATCAAAGAAATTAAAATTCTCCATTAAGAAAATTTGATATTGTTTGTGGAACATACGAATCGAATCCACACACTGTTAAAGTAAAGGGATCTTCAATGTCTCCTATGGAGACATCGGAACAGGCTAAATTACAAACAACAAGTCTGACTTCTTTGTTTCCGGTGGCCTCTCGATAAAGCTGCAATGCCTGAGAAGGATGGGGGTCACTCAATGAAACATTCGAATCTGTGTAAATAACGAAGACGTCGTATCTCCTCTTATTTTCAAGAGCGTATTTGAAAGGCCACGAAGCATCCGCTGGGATGTCCCTCACTGGACGAGCGAGAGACCTTATATTTTCAGTTACTTCATTTAAAGTATCAGAAGACCCAATAGGCAATACGTTCACTTTTTCGTTTGTGAAAACAATAGCATCGCAATTCTTTTCCGTTTTAATTGTCAGAGTCGACATAAAAGCAGCAACTTCCAATGCCTGTAATGTTGGGGCACCTGCTACATTGACGCTTTCTTCCATTGATTTACTGATATCCAGTGCTAGTAGAAACCGCTTTTCTGTTGGTTTGACATTATTGAAAGATAAGTACAATCCTTCTTCGAGTGCAGAGCAAATTTGTGGATATACTGGCCATTGCAGTTTTCCAGAATGGTTCTCACCTCTTTTGTACTGGTTTAGAGCCAACATGTACGTAAATGGGTGAACGGCCTCCTTAGCAAGTAGTTCTTTGTTTTTTAATTTCGCAATGATTAAATGCTCCTCAAAGGATATATTGTCTCCTGTTGGATTTTCCACTTGAAATAGTTCTAACTTGGACATTTTCCCTAAATTTCGAACCATGGCTGTTAAAGGCATATGCCTCGCAAGAGCCAGCCAAATACCAATATCATTTAAACAGAAGGTTGGCAATTGCTCTCTCACTAGTCTATGCTTCAAAATAAGTTTCTTTATTTGAGAGATATCTTTGGTACTTTTTGCGGTCTCTATTCCAGATAGAAGATCAACAATTTCTTTTAAAAATGATTTCTGGTAAGTTCCTTGCTTCATTATCTTTTTCATAAATTTGGTTGAATCTGCATATTTTTTACCTTTCACTGCAACAATAACCAGATACTTTAAGACTGGATTCTCTTCGCTCACTTTAAGGTGAGCTAGGCGAATCACAGATTTGTGTTTCCATCCGTATCTTCTGCAGTATTTCGTGATATGAAGTGCTAATAGTTTAAGCTTGCGTTCTTCTGTGCCGTAACTCAGATACCAATCGCAGATTGCCTTCCGATGTGCTCTACCCCATCCTTTAGACGGCGACAATTGAGAAATGCTTATCTGTTTGCAAAAATCAAGAAATCGGAAGAGTTGAGTAGGAATTCTACATATTGATTTCAATGCATTATATCCGGACATTTTTGTTTCCATATCATTCGATCTGCAACAGAGAGCTAAAACAAAAAGCAAAGGATCCTGTCTGCATGTGCGATATTTCGTTGAAAAATGAACAAGAAGTTCAACAATTTTCTTTCCTTTACCCTCTTCTATTAATCTGAAAGAAAAAGTAAAACACTATAATTTAGAATTTCTTTTCTTCTAACAGAGTTAATGCATTAAAGAAAAACTAAATAGAAAGGGTTGTTATATTAGAAATAAGAATTAAAAGAAAGCCAAAACACATCATAATTCATTTAATTTAATCAGCAATTATTTGACAAAAACTTCCATAGAAATGTAAAGATTGAGAAAGGTAGATGTAAATCAAATTTTATTTTAGTGCTGCCCTACAACACCATGATAATAAATAAACATGTAGAAATGATATATAGAAAAAGTACTTACTGAGAAACAAAGGGTAAATCTTCAACTCTCGGCTCACGACTGCGTACCCAATAATTACGACTAGATGAGCCAGTGCAAATGAAACTAGAGAGCTGAAGTTCAAAGTTTGTTTGAAATACATATCCATGAACTTGATTTGGAAGCTGATATGTGGAAATTCGCACAGTTTGGCTTTCGCAGTCTTGGGGATCTGCTTGCAGTCCAAGAAATTCCTCTTGTTCTGTAATGTCCATATCTTCTACAGTATTTGACGCCATCTTTATTTTGGAAATTCCCTCAAATGTACTTTCGGTTTGATCTTTTTCTTGCTTAGTGACGTAGAGTTGATTCCCTTTTTGTTATTCCTCCATAATAAATAGAAAGTCATCACTGTATGTTAGGATATAATAGAAATTTTACTTTGATCATTATTACATCCTTGACTGTCCAATTGATGAGATTTAAATAGGTAGATTAAAGACCCCCATTAACAGTCAGTGACCTACCAGATTTAATCTGAATAGAAAAAATATTTTACATGTAAGTAGCTAATTCTTTCCTAATTTTTTTAGCTGCAGAAATGTTTCACAGAATCTGTTATTGCACAGCAATTTTTTCTGTATATGAATTAGGGTAAGTTCCCAAAGGCTAAAAAGAGGCAGAAAAACAAATGTGTATCATTATTATGCCTTTTACTTTGAAACATAAACCAAAATAGAATGGAAAAGTATTAAGGAAATAATATTCTTGACATATACTAGAACCCATAAATACTTATAAACGAAGTGATTAATTCTGTCTTTGAGGTACATGCATGTCCTGTTTATTTTGCCCTTCCATCAAAAAATTTCAGTTCATAAAACTTACAGAGAATAATTCCAAAGTTAAATAAATCAATACTATGCGCAAGCAGATTTTAAAAGGATAAGTGTTAAAGGAAATTACAAAAAATAAAACGCAACTAATTTAAAAAAATGATATTGAAATAACATATTAAAGAAATAAACAAACTTTTCAATGAAAAAATGGAAAATACATATTAAAGAATAACTATTAAATAAAACAGAATTATTTAATCCAGAAAATAAAATTATTTAATCTATAAGTGCATGATAATAACATGAACTAATAACCATTCCATAGAGATCTCGTTATGTAAAGCATTAAGTTTATTGACTCAGGAGGACTTAACCTTTTATAGTCAATGAGCACAGGGTGTTCACTCGGATGACCGCATATATATTCCAAGGCATCTGTTATCGCCTCTGATATTTCAGGAGGTCAATGTTTGACCTGCTACTGATCTGTATTCTTTAAATGGACGACGAGGTTGAATACTTACCGTTGTTTTTACAACTGTTCTTACCTTAAGTAAATTAGTAGATTGACAATTGGCTATCAATAGAATACGGGAAGTTAACGTTAGCTTTCTTAAACCTTTACCTCAGATGCACTAAATAGTAAGCGAACAGTTAAAGAATCTGGACATGGAACATCGAAGAAAATATGCAGATTATTTTAACAAATATTGAAGATATTCACGTCTGTCTGTAAAGATTTTTTTTACAAATTCAATCTGTACTTACTAACGTTTATAAAAATTCCCTTGACTATACATCATTTGCCAATTTATCGCACAGCACAGCAATGGTGTTAATTAAACGTTTCCGATCGGATTGTTTGACATTATAAAAAAAAATAATAAAAGAGAGCAAGTACAAAGTTAAAACAAGTCAAAGTGTTTGAGTATATTTTTGTGATTGCTTTCTTCATCATGATGTTTAGATTACTTCGATGTTACTGTACAGTGATTTTTCAAGCCTACTGGAAATGTTCATTAATATCAGATTGGCTTCACAGCCTTGCCAAAACAGAGTTAATTTTACTGAATGCTCGCTTTGATGTTTCTATTAATTTCGGTATCAACGGTTACTTTACTCGTATTTACATCAACTTGAATACCTATCATTGAATATGCATTAAAATAGGTATTGAACAGATTTCTTGTTCCTGATCACAATTTGATATTCCGTCATTAATAAGACGAAACAAGTCCCCAAGCTGACGATTTAAACAATTCTTTAAAAAAATGCTTTGAAGCAAATTGGCTTTTCCATCGATATCGGATCCTATCGAATTAAGATAATTACCATATAACTATCATAAAATGTCACTTCTCGATCCTATTGTGATATCAAATCCAAATAAATTTATTGCCCTAATATCAATTAGCAATACGCTTGACCTTGGTTTTTAAAAGGATATGTACATTTTAACAATTACAAGTGAGAGCAAAATGTATAGACAATAAATCTAACTCTTTTTACCGGATAACATAATATAATGTAAGACGATTCATATTTTTTAAAATAATTTTTACACTAGAATCTTAATGCAATAACCTTCCAAGAAAATAAAAAATAACTGACATATAACGTTCTGAAATTTACAATATAGATATTTGTAGTATCCGAAGAAAACAAAACAACAACTTGTTATTAAAGCATAGTATGTAAAATATTGCAATTACTATCACAAAATTATAATTCCTAAAAATATTGACACTTTCCTAAAAAAACGAAGAAAATCTGATTAAAGAATACTGTTTTTAAATGAACGTTGTTATGGATGAATTAAAGGAATATATGAAAATAAATTAATCTCATGCAGTCGATACGCAAAGAGTGCAAGGATATGGATCTATTTTATCCTATAAAAAGAAGTATCGTTTTTTCTGTATTGATTTTGATATATCCGTAAGTACATTTGTTATGAAAGAAATTAGCCATGCTAGAGGTAGTACAAAATCAAAAGTTTTTTTTGACAAGCATATTACAGAAATATTTTTACATCAAAATACTTGCAATAAAGATAAGCTTCATTCATTAATACAATGAACAATGAGAGGATAATAAATATTAAACTGTTAGCTTACAATTGAGAAAAATGTGTAACCAAACTGTATATTCAACAAGAAAATGATTTATTAAAATTGATATGATTGGTGGGTGATGTTGAGCAATGCGGTACATCTTGTACAATCAAACAACAATTGACTCACAATAATGGCAATAAGATGAAAGATGTAGTGTAAGCAAAATGGGGTTTTTCAATCCTACTTTCTTCCACTTATTATGACAAAAATTGAGAGTTTTTTTGTTTGAAAACACCTGAACACATACAGCACGTATATGTGCAGGATATACACTCTTTTGCTCATCTTAATAATGGTACTGGTATATTAGTTTCTTTCATTATTTAGATTGTTGATGAGAAATCGTGCATGTCCATGGTATGCACAAGCTTTGAACAATTTCAAGTTGTCTTCCAAGTTTGAAAAAAAACTGAAACGTTTGCGAGGACATATTGCATGTTATTATTGATCAAAAGATTGTAAAGGAATTCGAAGATCGTTGTTTTCCCCCATGTATCGTAAATATGGACAGGAGAAATTTAAGTAGGAATGCTCCATTATGGCGCTATCCCCAATTTTCCAATCATCCTTTGAGCAACCGCAATGAAAACATGTTGTCGCTAAGTCGTACCCTAAAAGCAAGCAATTCAATGTTTGAAATAATTCGTTAACGACGTTCGATCCTGATATTTAAAGTCTTAAACTTTTCTTGCCAAGTATATTTTAAGCATCTACATACATAACTTACTTAAAATTCAAATCAAAAAATAGGGATCAATACGGTGCATTTAATATGACCTTTTTGCACTGAATTTTGATTCTTAATTAACTATTAAATTTTTGACGTTTTCCCTCCAATATTTTTATCCAATTAAAGCATGAACCAAAATGAACTCTAAATTTGTTTAAAAAAAAGATACTTAAATATTGTGACTAAGAAAAAGTTTCAAATTGCTTCGTGTAATCAATTATTTGACCTTTCTGCACTAACAAAAAGTGATTTTTCCGGCATTTAAAATTGAACAAACAAGAAAATTCGTTTAGAGTCTTAAACATTTTCTGATTTGAAGCAAATAAGTTAAATTTATCTTGAATATTTGAAAGGAAAACATCAAAAATGGTGGTATATGATGTAAATTTTCAGATATTACTAAAAAAGTGTTAATTTTACGTTAAAATTGGCTCAATTTTTCCCCAGATTTTCAGTATATTATTAACTATATTTTCCATCCTTTGTTAATAGAATTCATAAGAAATAATTTCATATATATTTCAGAACTAGCATAACACATTTCACTGCAAAAACAGCTTTGTGTGCAACCAGGATGGAAAAATAGGAATCCAAAATTAACAGTACTGTTATAGTTCATAATGAAAAAAAAGATCATTTTCCTCTAAAAAATACCTTCTGCCTCAAAATGTCGTCCCTAGCTTAATTCTTTTTTGGTGAAATTTAATTGCGGTTTTCTCATTGAATATAGTTGAATTTGCACTGTAGAATTCAGATTTAATGTTGAAACTTAAAAACGATGCAGAATGTTACAAATAAAGGACCTGATTAAATACACTCAAAATCTCAGGATCGAACGTCCTTAAAATAAAAAAAATCCCAAAAGTAATTTTTTTTTTTTACAAAAATGAAACCTTCATAGTAAAATCCAGCATAAGCTAAGCCTTTCTTCATATCCTGTGATAGGAATCTTGGAAATGAAAGTAACCGGGTATTGTATTCTTTATATGCCATGTATTTAGGTTCATCTTCAGGAGGATTTGTTTTTTCCTGTTGTTCTGGAATGGCCGGACTATCTAAAAATAAATCAAAATATTTATTATAACAAGTTTGATGCAAATGCATTTATGACGTAGAACTTGGTATGAATAAATTGATTGCTATGTTTTCTTCCGTAACAAAGAAATACTATAGTAAACTATAGTTACCTATAATACCAAAGTTAAAAGTTTGGAACTTTGATTTACTATGCAGAAAACTTTGGAACTTTGAATTGCTATAGTGAAAACTTTTGAACTTTAATTTACAATAGTGAAAAATGTGGAACTTTAAGTTCTACAAAAGCCGTGGATTAATAATTTACTTCCCATTCTGTATGAAATGAAATTTCATAAAATTTCCAGGATAGGGTTCATTGAAGCTTCAAAGAATGTTTTAAAAACCCAACCCGTCCCCTAGAAGAATAATGTACAAGAAATGAATTTAATTTAAAAATTCTCTCTTACACCGAGAATAAGAGATGTTTATTTAAATTTATTTAATTCGAATGTTTATGCAGATAAAATGTAAGTCTTATTTATGGAGAAAAAATTACCATAAGATAAAATTTGCGTCATTTAGAATCAAAATATATGCTTTTTTAACTTCAGTCAACAAGTTTCTTTTTTCTACTGTTAAATGTAAATATTGCATTTAAATTAAGAGTAACAATGAAAACCAGTCCTAACATACCCAATATCATACACTTGTACCCCTTAAAACAAACAATTAATAAGAATATTAAACTATATTGTAAATAAGTTGCTAAAGTTATTACAAAAAAACTTTTAAAACTTCGAATAACTTAAGTAAAACTTTGGAAATTCTAATAACTATGGTATAAACTTTTGAACTTTGATTTTCTACAGTGAAAACTTTGTAATTTTGAATTACTATAGTCAAAACTTTGGAAATTTGATCTACTATATTAAGATCTTTGGAACGTTGATTTACTATGGTAAAAAAATTGGATTTGATTTACTTTAGTACACTATTGCAAACAAAAGTTTACTATAATATTTTTGTTGGGGTTTACTCTATATTCTCAAGTGTTCTGTGGTATCTTTTGTTTTGTTTACTCATCAAATAAAGTCACAATGTAGAGAGTTCATGTATTTATATCACACATTATTTCATGAACTGCATTCAGAACTATAATTACCAAAATAAATAACCAGATTACAATGCATGATATATATACTTGAAGAAACATTTTGCTTAATCTTAATTAAACTGCGTTATTAATCTTTACTGTTTTTCTCGAATTACTACACATATTTTTTTACGCGTACTCTACCGAAGGAGATACTTACGTCCATTTGATGAAAAATAGCCGTTGTGTAAAGCATCACCAAGAAGGATAAAATTAGGAATTTTACCTGCACAAAATTATCACAAAATTATATATTAGAAAACGACAAAATTTACAGCTGTAACATTCAAATTAGAGATGAAAGTTGCGAGGACACAATATTCAGGTAAAATTACTAAAAAATTGAAATAAATCAAATTATAAAATGGGAGAAAAAACGAAGAACTACAAGGAAAAAGACAAATGATCTGCAACGTTTATGCAAATCAGTATACACCTTATTCAAAGTACACTTTTATTTTCAAACATATCTACCAATTTTTAGAAATAAATCATATAATTCAAGGTTTTCGTAGTTTCTCAGTACATGTAGTAGCTTGCTACTTTTTCTCTTTAAATTGCATTGATGCCTTTTTCTCATAAGCTGTATCTTTGTAAGTTGTGCAAAATATGACTTCCATTAAAATGCCTTTGTTGGCTACGTCCAATCAATCCTTAGCTCTCCTTAAACGTTTATAAAGATAAAGTAATGCTTATAGTTGAATCAATAAAGATTCAATAATTCATTTTTACTTTCAATTTACTTTTTATTTTCATTAGTTCCTAATTGTCTCCCCTTGGAAAAGGGCTTGGCCCTTCATTTGAATAAACTTGAATCCCTTTTAACCATGGATGCCTTCTGGCAAGTTTAGTGAAAACCAATGGTTCTTGATAAGAATCGAAAATGTTAAAAAAGTTAACAGACAGAAACACGGACGGACAGACGAACAGACGGACTATAAACAAAATGTGATCAGTAAAGCTCACTTGAGCTTTCAGCTGAGGTGAGCTAAAACAACACTGCCTGCTTGACCTGTTATGACTGTGATTTGTGTATGAAAAACCAGCAAAACCGAATTCAAGGAAATGTATAAACTAATGAAGAATGTGCCTTCAACAAATAAAATCATTAAAAAAATTGTAAATTTTGCATTTATATTTATTTTATATTATTTATTTTAAGGTCACCTTGCAGACTTCTCTCGATAACAGTTGTTAGAAACTGCGTGTAACATGTACAAATATAATGCTTAATTCAATTTGGAATTGTATAACTCAGTACAGTCTCCACTGTGCAGTGTATTCTCTCTCAGGAAAGGACAGATGACTTACTTGTGACCTCTGCATTTTTTTGGGTTAATACTATAATAAAAGAGTCAAATAAGGTGTTTACGAAAATAAACGCACCATCATTCTCTTCCTCCTGTTTAAGTGGGATAGTTTCTCCTGAAGTTTTGTTCTTATAACCTGAAGATCAAAATAAAGATTCATTACTATAAGATTACGTAAGTGAATTCATTCAAAGTGCTTCTTAAAGAATAGTTTCAAAATATTTTTTTTTCACTCTTGCTTATGTTTTGCTTTTTTATTCAACAAACTTCAACACAGTGAAGTATTTCCAATGACAATCATGGAAATATGTTTCATGTATAGGAAGGAGATCTGTTATGAGATTAGCATTGGTCCAATGAAACAAGGATTTATTAAGTAATTCACAGTTAAGTTTTTGTGAAATGTCCTGACGTTATCTTCCATGTAATGCTCCTTCAGAACCACGTCTATAAATTGTTTTTAAAGCTCAAAGGATATAATAACTACAGAAGACAGAGTTGAATGATCCAATGGATGACAGAAGACCATGCAGAGGAAAACAGGTATCTTGTTTGTCATAAAGATTATGCATTAAATTATGATGAAAAACCAGCTCCATCCCTCTTTATATATAACCTATCTAATAATTAATAGCAATGAAAATTTTGTCTGGATACAGAGTACATTGTCATTTATAACTTTTTTACTTGCCTTGCAATTCCAGATCAGGGACATTTTGTCTTAGTTTGCTGGAATATCTCTTACTAACAACGAAGATTATAGCTGCGACCATAATACATCCTAACAATAAGGCTACAGAATATCTTACAGGTGTTGGCATGCATTCAAATCCTGAACACGCTGATTCTCTGTAAATTGTGGGAACTTTCCTTAATAATCAATTAATACTGATTTAAGTTTTATAGTTACTATGAAAACTAGGCGAAAATGCATTTACATGTGTAAAAAGAGAGAATCTATTTTGAATTTCAAGATTTCCTTAACTTAAGGGGATGCAGGACGTTTGGTCACGTGACTCAATTGATTTACGTCATAATCTCTGATAAAATATGTACAAAACGAGATTGAAACCACAGTACTTGTATAATTTTTTTGACTGTTTGTTTGCGTACACCATCTAGTATAAAAATATCTGAAAACATTCAAAATTTCTTGCAAATATTATCAAATTACGGAATAGATTAATCCACTCTGCCGTTTCCCTACTCTGCGCGTCCAGTGCGTCTTTAACGTCATAGTGGATCTCTTAGTTCAGTAAGATCATACACGGTAAAAACGGGTAGTATAAAATCATACGGGCCATACTATGTACATGGTAGGGTATTTTGCAAATTTCAGAACGCAAAAAATATTTTTACATGGTTGTTGACGGAAAAGTTCTGTGGGTTTGTTTCATTTCGCTTATTTCAGGAATGTGTGACGTCATAGTTGGGTTTTCCCGTACTCGAGAAATGTCAACATGACACGTTTTTCTCATGATCATGACTCGTTTAACTTTGTCCTGTGCAATATTGAGCTCAGCTTCACCAGTCGATTTTTTTTTTACAGTTAATCAATACAATGACGACCTTGAACTTCGACGTAAATTTTCAAATATTGAATGATAGGATTTTTTGCAAATTAATATTTTTATGGTTAAAGTTGTCCTAAAAAAGTCGTAAATTTCCGTCTCCAGATGTGGTGTTACAAAAGAATCATGCTTTTTCGAATTTTTAACCCTATTCATACTCTAAAATATTTTAAAAGACACATTTCCGCTGGTATATTTTTTATCTATGGTGAAAAATTTCAATTATCGACCGAGTAATGGACCCAGAAACACGGAGAATAAAAACTCCGCTCAGACACTGTGGGGTATGGTATTTGTCACTCAATATCTCAGAAATAAGTCTAGAAACCTATTGATATGTCTGCTTTATAGTATGTAGGACATATTAAATAAGATATATACAAAATATGAAAAAAATTAAATGACAGGTATTTTTTCAGCTAAAGGTCCTTCATCCCCTTAATAAGAAATAGAATCATGCTCTTTATGAATGGAACCAAAGCATTGTTAAACTTTGTGAGAACATGTCATAAACAGCATTGATTAATCTTTTTATGCTGGGTTTAATCGGGTGTTCATGTAAAAATGATGATCTCATGATTGTGATCCATGCTTCTTAATTTTTAAGGAGATTCAAGTTGCACAAAAATTAAAGTATGCTATTTTGCTGTTTCAGTTGTATGTATAAAATACATTACCCTAATAATTGAAATTTCATTCACGTATGCAATAAAAAAACAAAAATCAAAATCAACTAGAGGTACTGTGAGCATGATCTCACTAAATGTTACCCCCCGCCTCCCATATGGTTATAACTGGTGAAAAAGTCCATGTTTTCCTGTGGCCGGGAAACCCAAAATATGTGCCAGATCAAAAAGTAAAATAGGAGGTGCACAATGGCAATATGTAATAAAGATTCTGTGAAAGTTTCATCAAATTTCATTCAGTGGTATGAGAGGAGTTGCGGATAAGAGATGGGTACCCCAAAGCGTAACAGACGGACGGACGGACAGACAGACAGACGGACGGACGGACGTACAGACGGACGGACGGACGGACGGAATTAACGATTACTATATACCTTTTCAAGCGGGGGGGGGGTATAATAAAGAGAACATATTATAATGAATAATAAATTATTTAAAATGATACATATTTTTGTAGGATATACACTAATAACAAAAAAAAAAAAAAAAAAAAAAAACAATATGTCATTTGAAATAAATTCTGTATTTTGGTTTCTTTTAAATGATGGCATAAAGAATACATTCATAAAACTATTAGTATCAGATATTTAAAAATTTAATTTAATCTGTGATAGAAAAATACATTAATGTCTAAAAAAAACATTTACATGTTACTAACATACATTTCAACAACTGTTGTAAGGGTGCTGTATAGATGACCACTATTGTTGTTGACATCTGTTGTGGAGGATGCGACATTTTCAAATTCAAAACATTCCATATCTACAATACAGTACTCAATGTGATTTCTTTGTTGGAAAAATATTTAAATGACTGTTATTTACAATTGAGACTTCATTTCATGCCCTCAAAACGTTGACTATAAAATAATTAAAGTTTCGTACAGTCCATGCAAGAAGCATGGGATGCTTACTCCTCCAAGTTGTCTAGGAATTTGTTCGGCTTCCCGGTTTGTGCCCTCATCTACAAATCTGTTTCCTTTGTATGTTTTTTTTATCAATCAATACTCAGTATCTTCACATGTTTCATTTTTTCAACGTCTCATTAAATGAAAAGATGGAAGACATTGCTAATGACCTCCAGACAAAGACTTATGCAAATACATATTATGAACGGAACTCGTGTTCAGCTATTTAATATACAGCAAAGAAAAAAACATACATTTATAAGCCTCAGTCGAGATGTACAGAAAGGGACACGACTTGCATTCCCCTTCGTTGTATTCTTGAACCATCTGTCCCCCGAAGTTGAACTCCGGACATTTTTTACCTACATATAAACAAACATAAAATAAACAAGAACAAAAAAGTTTATTTCACAGATGAGATCATTCTAGCAATACGAACAAAAGATATAGATATGGATTTTATTTTTACCTACAATGGGCGTCTGAATTGCACATACTTCTACACACGCATTTCGCCAAGCATTTGGTACCCAATGATATGAAAATAAATTGGACGCTGTGCAATTCTGTTGGTATGATATGCAATTAAATTTTTTTTCTCTTTCATTCCAATCAGTTTGACTTGATGGACAATGGTCTGTTGTCAAAGCTGTGTTCAGTGATATGGAACATGATCTCTAGAATGAAAAGAAAATGATATTTTATCATAAAAACATTTTTATCATCAATGTATATATGCACCATTTTCCATTATTGCAATAGAATTAAAAGTGATATTAAACTCTCTCTCTCTCACTCTCTCTCTCTCTCTCTCTCTCTCTCTCTCTCTCTCTTATGTGAATATTTTGATATGTAAGAAGTTACCTTATTTGATTCAGGACAAAGTACAAGTGGTGTTCCAATTATCATAAGTACCACGAGGAACATTGCGATGCCAGCATTTGGAAAATGGCTCATGGCTATTTTAAACATAAATATGACACTACGGGTCAATCCACTACAAATTAAAATTTCATATGATTAAAATCTATAAAAGCAAGCAAGACATGTTAAATAAAAAAAATATATATATATGTAAAAAGTACGAGCTTACTTAATCTAAAGATCGAAATTTATTCCTTATAAGTTGAAATTGTATCAGTTGAAGAAATATGTATTTCTTTAAAAAAAAATTCATGTTACAATATGCTTAAGTCTCTAAAGTCAATTTGTGTTTTTCCAAATCCAATAAAATCTAACCTGCCATAGATGGAATAACACGTTTTAATGCAGTTGGTCCATTTACTCTCAGTTTCAAATTCTTATTGTTTAATGTCATATTCAAAACAAAAGAGATTTTTCACAAAGACAGAGAAAGAAAATAAAAGACACATTTGAATACATGTAGTAAATGCATTAAGCATTATACCCTTACATGGAAAAAATAAAATAATTTAAAATACAATTCATCCTATTAGAAAAGTAATGCATAAAGTTTTCGAAATATATATTTACTGACAATATTTTCATTCGAGTCACTGAACATGCAATGCTATTTGCCCTAAGATAAAATATGTACAAGTTAATAAAAATCACTTTTTTGCGATTAAACGAATATTTCCCTATATACATATTCCTCTGACTATATTAGATGGACGCTTATAAATATAAATCATTGTTAATTTTAATGTAAGAGCAAAGTGTGCACGTGAATAGCTGCATGCTTAATATTATGGGCCAAAGTTTTAGTATCCCTACGCGTATAGATATGATTTGTGAAGAGGGTGTGTCCCCTAGGCTCTATTAAAGCTGATCTTGTAAAAAGATTAAATGAAGGCCTGGTGAAATGAAACAAATTCATACACCGATAGACTCAATTACTATATTAACAAAATGAATTATGTGTATTATCTGATCCATAAAAAATACCTAGATTTTTTTTCTCAAAAAGCATCAACATGTCCTTGATAACAGTTTTAGTGTAAAACACAAAGAGGAAAGCTCAGTTCGAATACAATTTATCGTATTTATTGTATTGTCAGCAATATATTAAAACTATGTTACATGTTAATACTCACGGGAAAACAATTGTTGTGGATTTGAAGATTCTCCAGATTTTTCATTCTTGCCTGCATCATTCCTGAAAGTATTATTCAAGTGTCAATGTTTATTTCTTCTTTAACAAGAAAGATAATGATAAATGTCACTTTGTTACGTCATTTAATTGCCTCCAAAAAGCATATATTTAAACTTTTGGGAATTAGTTGGGTTTATGTTGAAAAGAATGTCGTAACTTGATCAGGCTGGTCTTTGAAAGTTACATTTTTTTGCTCAATGATTCTGATTGGCTGTTATTAATGAATATAATTCCAGTGACAGAGTGGATTATGAAAAGAAGTAAAAAAAAATATTGCCCGCGTTTCAACTGACTTAAATTATAAATAAGAATTGTGTATTGTGAAGAATCATAATTATCTCTGTAATTTATGTGCACACAATACACAGTTCTTATTTATAATTTAAGTCCGTTGAAAGGCGTGCAATAAAATTTATGACTTCTTTTTATTATCCACTTTGTCACTGAAATAAGATTACAGTTTATATATCAACTAAACAAATAATTTCTCGCATTTAAATTCTTCTAGAAATTATTTGTTTGGTTGATATATAAACTGTAATCGTGGTTTGAAATTCAAAGACAGATTGAATGCATTGCTTATTTAGACATAGTTCGGGCCAGTAAAAAAAAAAATTGGAAGGAAAAGACTTAAATCCAGCAAAATTGCTCATACCAAAATACGAGGCAGAGAAAACAAAGAGCATTTAAATAAACCTAGGTAAAAATAAATATCCTAGACTAAAAAAAAAATAATAAAAATAACATAAGCTAAATTTATAACTGCGTCTAGAAGATATAAGAACGTGATGTGTAAAAAGTACCCGGAGAGGGCAGTTGAACTGGACAGAAACAAGGCTTACGTAGTGGAAGTTCATAACGTTTAAAGACAACAATTTTATAATAACCATTGTTAGTTTTCTGTAAGAGAAGCCACAGCCCTACGAGAATATTAAGGTGGATTGGTCTGTTAAAGACTTGGATCTAATGCTAATGGTGATGGGAAATGATCAAGCCAATATATATATAATACATTTTCATAAACTTATCACATGTCTGCTTTCTGTCCAAAACTCTCGGATATAGAATTCAAGAGATTAATTCATCTCCATTACAGAATCTGAGGTCATCGTCAATGTACAGATATTGACGACCAGGGACCATAATAGATGGGAAAGTGTGTAATAAAAAAAAGTCAAACGACAAAATTGTCAGTTTGAACGCCTGTGTCATTCTACGGATCATAGAGCCATGTGGAAGAATGTTTCCAGAGTCCAGACTAAGTTTTGGAAAAAGTGACTAGAAAAACATGACCACGATGACAGATGATCTCTTTTAAACGTCTGTAAACTTAACACATGAATTTTTCCATTATCTTGACAATAACTCTGCAAACTATTTGTATTATGGTTTTACTTAATGGTTTCGATACTATGGATTCTAATGCATAATGAAGATTCAGGGACTTTAAAATGTAGAAATCTAGAAATCAGAAGAAAAAGTAGATAAAATAGTTAAGACAGAAGTAGAGATAGGTCTTGTGGTAGGCCCAGTGTCAGCCCAAAAGGTGTGGCTCTCAGGAAATATTCTGGGAAACTAAGGCTCATCATGGACTTAGAAATACTGTTTTCCCCACATCTAGTAGCACATAAATGAAACCAGGTTTTCTTATGTTCACTACAGGCTTGTAAGAATGAAATCAAGAAAAGATTGGAAAAATGGCTGCATATACATACCTCAGAAAGATATGATGTGTGTGCAAAAATAAATGTACTTTCGTTTCTAATTAAAGTACAATTGTATGGTGAGCCATATGAACAAAATATGACTAATGTATAAAATCATTTTATTTTACTAGATCCAACGACGAGATTAAATCTTATTACCGTGAATCATGTCCATGCTCCATGCATCATTATCATCAGAGACAAGATGGAACAAAAAATTTGATTTGGATTCGAAGAAGGATATGGAAATAACGAACAGTATTCAATCTCAACGTCCATTAAACAAATATACAAAATAAGAGCAGAGCAAACACGGACCTCCGAAACATCAGAGGTGGGATCAGGTGCCATGGAAGGGTTAGCATCCCCTGCCGACCGGTCACACCCGCCGTGTGCTCGTTGTCATAATCAGGAAATAACGGAAAAAATCCGTGGTCAATTCAGTGTATAAATAATGGACTAACAATTGGTATGAAAAACGTCAGTCAGCATTTCATTCAATGATAAATTGTATTTCCTGACAAGGTCATTGTATCGACCATAGAATTTACGAAATGATGACTTTAAACGAGACTGTTGATATTATTGTTTCATCAACTTGCTTGTCAATAATTTACCTCGTTTAAGAAATTGTTCATACGTAGAGCATGCTCTTGCGTATCGAATCAACTGAGATATAAATACTCCGTATGCAGGTGATGAAGGTATATTGCTGCATAAGTAAGGGAAGTTGACGATAGAAAAATTAAAGTCATCACGTTTATCATACAGCTTGGTTGTTAGATTACCATTAGTGTCTTTTTCAAGTAAAATATCCAAGTATGAAGCAGAAGTGTCGGACTCTGTGGTATCTTTTATCTCAAGCTCAACAGGATATATCGTGTCGACGTAGGAATGGAAATTATCATTATTAATTGACAATACGTCGTCGATATATCTAAATGTCGAGTTGAAGGCCACAGCAAGTGTTTTCTTCCTTTCACGCAAAAGATTTTGCACAAATTCTACCTCATATGAATATAAAAATAAGTCTGCCAATAACGGAGCGCAATTTTTACCCATGGGAATTCCAATAGATTGTTGGAATACCTGGTCTCCAAAAACCACATAGATATTGTCAATCAGAAACTCAAGCATCTTCTTGATGTCAACTTCAGAGTACTTATGTGTGCAATCAGAATTTGTTTTAACAAAATAATTTTTCAAATGACCAATGAGGAGGTAAGTAAACTTACGAGTTACATTTTTGTTGAAGAAGCAGCTGTCAATGATATCAAAAAGCCTGGATTTTAATTTGTCGTGGGGAATTGTTGTGTATAAAGTTGAAAAGTCGTAAATTTTTATGCTGTTGATTTTTGTATAGTCTAGTGATTTCAAATTGTCCAAAAGTTCTTTAGAATTTTTAAGTATCCACATCTGATTTACACCACTTCTTGAATATATAGTTGTACAGTACTCTTGAAGTTTTTCCTTCACTACTGTCAATATTTTAGTGAGAAGTAACGAAAGAGGTTTGGTTGAACATTTACTGGAACCTGCAATGTATCTTTGTTTGTAAGGATTCTTATGAAGTTTCGGAATCCAATATATACACTTAACAAAACTTCAAAGTGTTCACTTTAATAAATGTCTTTATTTAAAAACTACTTTATAGAATGGTATGATATTTTCAAATTATATCAACAAATGAGTCTTCTAAACAATTGTGGAGAAAAAATTCAATATCACCGATGAAAACCAGTGTTCCGTGACGAAGCTTAAAAACAATAAATTTGTACTTTGCGGCGTGTGTTTTGTGTAATAAGCATCTTTTTGTGATCATTATCAATTTTTAAAAACTGGTTTCAGTAAAAAACACAAAACATTGGTTAAATGACCATTGAGATAGAAGATAGAGCCGTTGGAATGTTGCCATCTTGACCATCTCTGCGCCACGTTTCACTCACTTTTATTTTGGTCCTTAATTGTACTTGATATTACTTTTAAAAATTGTCAAACAGTATCAAAACCCATTTAAACACATTTTTCTATAGGCTGTGATCATTTTTCATCACTAATTTATCACAATTTGAAAGTTTTTGACAAAATTTAACCACACCGGAAGTGACCTTGATCTTCTTCTGATGAGAAAATTTCGTGTCACACCAGGTTAAAAGAGTGTTAAAGTGTCCTGAAAAAATGTTAGAAACATGGAAACAAATAATTTCAATCGTACGGATATGATACGATATCCGTGCTCAAGACAGTCTTATATCAGCTCAAACGTCTGAATTATCCTTAAAGCGGCGCACTAACGTGCTAAAAACCCGAGGATAATGACCAAAAGGCATTTGTGTGACGATACACTGTCAAATTCCCGGATCTGAATCCCATTGAACACATTTGGGATTTTAAAAGAAATGTCAAAGCCCCCCCCCCCCTTTTCTCACAATTTCAATGGTTTGGAAGGATCTATGCAGTACATGTAGGTGTGGCAGCAGATGGGTCAATCTCCTATTCAGGGGTACATGGTATCCAACAATAAAGAGTTTCTTGTAGTAATTAGAGCGAGTAGTGGGTCTTACACAATCGAGATTTTTTTGTGTGAATTTTCATTTTGAGGGTGCACCATTTTCTTCACACTTTGCTTAAAATTCTGATGAGATACTTACATGAAATTTACGCAACATCAAACTTAATTATGACTCTTCAACCAAGCATTAAAGAAATTATTTATTCTTCGCATTTGTTCTTTAAAACCTCAAAAATGTTAGGTGAACACTTAGAAGTTTGGTTCAGTGTATAAGGTAGGGAATAATGAAGGGAAACAGGATTTTTTTAGTTAACACATAATGTTTTTATACACAGGACAAAGAAGGATTAAACAAAATCAATGCATGCACTCTATTAAGGAAAAATTAAGTTGCTATAAATTGAGTATGTTCTTGATTTTATTCATATATATGTACCTTAGTATACCTGAAATTAAGTTTACGAAATATCTGTGGTGATTATTGAAAATCTCAATGTTTAGAATAAATGTATCTATAATAAAATAAACAATTATTAACATATCTGAATGTTTATATTAAAAATTCCATTGAGAGACTTATCTTTTAACAATAATTTTTATTAATAAGAATGACACCCCAACAAAGAAATAACAGCTATATAATCCTTTGCATGCTGACCATATGTAGTATCCGTAACCATTCCTGTTGCAATGTACGTAGTATTAAATTATTCCTGTAGATTTCGGGGAAATGTTAGGGGAGTTGTAATGCGTTCCTGAAGAATTTCCTGTGCATGTTCAATTGGCTTGACATTAAAAAGTAGCAAATCTATATATTGTATACTTTTTCTAAGGATATATATAAGAATATAAGATATAATAATTAATGAGTGTTTATTGTTGAACGTTCCTCGTAATTAAGAATTTTTCTCGCATTTGAAGATTTAACCACAAGAGTGGAGAGCTGCAAACTGTGTCCTTTACCCGGCGCTCAGGGCCATTGAACAGGGAGGGAGCCTCATCGTGCCAGTTCCTACTACAAAACGGAAACTCGGTTTATAAAGTATCTTTCAAAGGACAGGTCTCTACGTTCTACAGTGTTATTCGAAAACACGACGTAAGGATCGATTCCTTGCTATTGTTTTTAACAAATGTCTTCAAAATGACGCCCTATCTAGGAATGATCATGTCAATACATTGCACAAATTTCCAAACGTTACGACAGCAATTCATTTTTCCTTAGTAATAATCTAAATTTTCATTGGATATGCATGTATTCCTTTTCAGAAAAATTAAACATTTAGATTTATAGGTGTAGTATCAATATCTTAAGAATTGGGTTGATAATTACAGTTGTAAAATGATGGTACCCGGCTTATTTGACAAATCAATTTTGTTTCAAATACCTTTTTTAACAACTTTTAGACGTCATTATGGGGCTACATTTCTCAGACTATAATGTGTGTGAAATATTTTAGCTGAATTTTTTGTTGCTATAAATTGTATTTACTCATATAATAAATGAGACAAACTTCGATGAAATTGGTCAAGACGTGAGTATCTGACAAAAATTTAAAATTGTATCATAAATTATGGGAGACACTGTATATAAAAAGACTGGTAATCAAGTACAAAATTTATTTTCTTAGGTAATAAAGCAAAATATTTTTTCCAGATGAATGTCGAAAAGAATTTAGTTGAGCAATTTTCTCTATACAACAGCAACATTTCCTTTACATACATAGCTATTTGCTTCTGTAAAAAGGGCATTTAAACAAATTGCGAGTAGCATTGTAAATGCAAATCGTGAATGAGTGAATGGAAGTTTAATATTATCTGCATGAGTTTGAAAACCCAAAGGGTTTGTCGAGAAAGTTTGATTTCTTTTAAAACAAATCCCTATTAGATACTATTTAAGTTGAACTTCGTTTCAGAGGTGAAATTGCATGTATGGAGATTCTGTGGTCTAAAGTTGTAGTAAATATTAATAAGAAATAATACTTGTTGGTGTTACTTAACTCAAAGGCAGAATATTTGGGATCATTTTTATACAACCTACAACAAACTTAATTTAGATTTGCATATTCCAGTTTCATCATTAAGTGATTTTAATATCAATATGCTGTCAAACCAAAGTAAACAATTTAAACTCTTGTTACGATGCCTAAACGTCACAAATCTCATAACTTTACTCACTTTACTGTGAGCACTGGGACATTTATTGATTTAATATTATCTAATAATCCTTGTCTAAATCGTGACATGACATATCAGCACCTCTTTGCAGCTCACGTGTGTTATTAGTGTTGAGCTAAAAATTTACTGTCCACAAACAATATGTTTACAAAAGGATAGTAAGAAACTATGAAAATGTAAATTTAACTGCTCTAAACGTAACAAGTTTACTGGAATTCCATTGTGATTGATTCAAACAATATCACTTAACAAATAATTGATGAAGCTATTCCTAAGAAAATCATTACCATCAGACGTACTAGATAAAGTATTCATGAATAACACCGTGCGGATTAATGGGAAACGAAATAGGGCCCACTATGAGACAAAACATAGAGACAATCCACGACACTGACAGACATACAGAGAACCTTGAAATACAGTTAATACGTGGTGAAAATCAAAAATCCCCTGATCATCCCCCTTTGAAAATGATTAAGAATTGTCAAGTCAATATCAAAACTAAATAAAAAGTATGAACCAAATCCGCCACTAAAATCAAAAGGTGAACTTATCTACAATTCATTTGAGAAGGATACAGTTCTTAATACAGGTAAGTCTTTAGCACAACAGGTACATATTATTAGGGGAGAGGCAGGAGACTGTTCACCCTTTTTATTTTAAAGATTTTGCTTTTACTATATAAAATATTTATTTATTCCATTCATTTTCAGCATAGCTAAATTTACTACATAAAACAAGTCTTCTGTACTGATGTGTATCTATTCAGAAAAGAAATGAAGAAAATGGCAACATGTACAAACCTTGAAGGAGACATGATCTGTGTACTGTACTTTCGTTTTAAATTACGGTAGACTAAATAAACATATGTACAATATCATTTAACTAGGACTGACAGTCAAAGATGTGTGACGATATTAAATATGATAATCGTAAATAATGTTAATGCTGCACGTACATGTATCATATTGAATGCAGATTAGGAGTTGTGAAAGATGAATTAAGGGCTTTTAGTATTTTTTTCCCTGAAATTAATTTATCCACAATGCGATCAAAGTTATTTTTTATAATATCCCCTGTTGTTTTAAAAAATCAGTTCGTGTGCATGCACTGACAACAATGCAGATGCAGAAAAGAAGTAAAGAAAACCTCATACTAATTTTAAATGATTGTCTTTGAGATAAAATGTTTGAACAATAAATTGTAAAGAAAAGTTTTACGCCACCAAAGCGGGAAAATGTCGTCAACTTGTAATTTCTTAGGAGACGAATGCATGAGGAAAAAGAGACTGACAAAATGTTGATGATGGAATTCTCTAGTGCTAAAAGTCAACAACAGACTTTTCAGATTTTACAGCCAGGTGCCATGCATGGACCTGTTGTGAAATATATATGACATATACCTAATTTATATGTTTCGTTTAAAATTCAGATGAAGACATACGCAAATGAAATCTTAAATTTCGGTGACCTTGATAGATTGCATGTGAACACCTTTTCTTTACCTCTACGAACATTAGGAAAGATATAAGCTACATGTAACTGGACAAAATCAAAGTACATGCATACTTATAGAGATATAGAAAAAAATAATAACACAGCTGATAATTGTTGTGTTATTCAAACAAAAGACACGACAGTAGCTGTTTTCAGGTCAAACGGTCTAAAGTCCGAGTAATTTTGGATTCATTATATGTTGTAAATTTAATATCTTTAAAACCTTTAAATTTATACATAATATATTAAGAACAATGCTGTTCTCGTAGATTCATATAGCACCTCTTCTCCTTATATTCCCTAAAAAATGCAGGGAAATAAAGCATACATTTGTAAGAAAAATGAAATAAAATCAGACATGTGTATGGCACGGATATAAATTACTTGTACATGTGAACACGGGTTTAAAATATAGTGTCGCGTGCTTAGAATTGATTTAATATTTTAGAATGCCATGTCAATAGATTGATATCTTGTTTTTCCTGTTTTATACGTATTTATACTATGAACATGTTGTAATGAATTTCCAGATCGAAGAATTAGCGCCCATGTCTAATTTGGTGCATTAAATGCCGGATAACATGATATTGTTTATTTAAACAAATGGAAAAAAATCGAACCAAAACGTATTCGTTAAGTGTACTGATTATTTTAGTAATATTTTGTAACTTTAGAATTAACGCCCAGAAAGGACCATGTACAGACAATTCGTAAGTTTCGATCTTTTTTCATCTACTTTGTCATTCTTATTCAGAAAGAATAAGTTATAATCTTATGTTTTAAATCAGGATTATTACTGCACCTCAATCCTTACTTACTTAACTTATTAACAATATCAGCTACTCAGACAATGTACTTGCACTTGTATAAATTACCATTTGTCAAAATGAATTTGTAATAATTGATATATACTTTAAATTTATACAAAACTTGTATTGTTTATTCTAATTCCACAGGAAGGTTTTGTTTTAATTGATATATATTTTTTAATTAAGGATGAGGAAGTTTAAATAACCTAAAATCATCAATTTTAAATTAGCATTTTGAAATTGTTGATAATTATTTTAATACAATTCAAGATCTTGTTGCATAAAACGTATACAGTTATATGCAATAAGTCTTTGGGAGCTTTTTTCTCTTATCATGTAAAATATTACTCTTCCCATTGTGGCTAACCCCTTCCCCAGGGACCCTTATTTGAACATATTTGATTGTACACTACCTGAGAAAGTATCCATATCAATCTGACAATTCAATATTGGCAACTCAATATTAATTATCGTGTATATATTGCATACCTTTTTATGTTAACATAGTTTAACTTGGGCTGTTGCATGCAGAATGTAGAAATGCTTTTCTTTGCATTATTTTCGGAGTTTTTTTATTTAACAAATATCTTCAATTAAACCATCGTCTTCCACCTTCCTCAAATAATTTATTTTCTCCATGAATGAGTCTACTCTGCTCTGTTTTTTGCAAATATCAAAGCCAAGTGTTTGTTGTAAATGAGCATTTATTGTAATGCCAAACAAATTAACAAAATATGTACAAAAGTTACATATGACCATTGTTACAACGCACTTTAAAAAATTACGCACTTTGAAAAAAAAATTTTCAAAGTGCGTTAAAATTTGGGACCAAGCCAACGCACTTTGAAAAAAAAACAATTTTTTTCTAAGTGCGTTAATATTGACCATATTAACGCACTTTGAAAAAAAAATGTCAAGATTGATCAATATTCCTTCAAAAAATCGGTATGATAAAAACATATCCTGGTTTGATAACTTTTTTATGGTAAGTCACTGTAGGACCTGGGATATTGACGTTTTAAATATTTAAGAATTTGATAACATAATATAATATATATATTTGATAAAATAAAAGGGAAAATTAAAGGGTCTTGAAAGAAAGAGTGACGATTGTTTAAGTTCAATAATTCTTTTCTTTTTTTCTTTTGATTCTAGTCTTTGATTAGTAGATGCAAAGATGTATAGGGGGCACTAACAGAGGGCAGCTTGAAGCAACTAAGCATTTATCATATTAGTAAAACGGGGCCAATTCAATTGTTTAAAATTAAAAAACACGCTTTCTCTCTCATACGTTTTACCGTACTTAAAAATTTCTAGTTTTCATCTGTTTTAATTACCTCATTTATTATTGAAAGTTTTCAACATCATACCAGTTAGGTAAATACATGTACATAATTATTTAAACGCTTTGAGTATAGCATAGACATTGAGACTAGGCGATAGGGCCAGGGGAAGGAATGGGTGGGGACTAAGCCCTTCATTCTTTTCGACGGGAGTAAATTAAATCATTTTTGAGGTTAGGGTTAGGCTTAGTTTTTTGAAACATAAACAAGAAATAAAATCTTTCAATGACTAAAATATATTTTTTTTTCAAAGTGCGTTAAGTGTTTCCATGGTAAAATATATTGATGTAGACTCTTAACGCACTTTGAAAAAAATTTTCAAAGTACGTTGAGTTGCTCCAAAATTTAACGCACTTTGAAAAAATGTTTCAAAGTGTGTTGATTTTGTCCCAATTTTAACGCACTTTGAAAAAAATTTTCAGCGTGTGAAATTTTTTCAAAGTGCGTTGCCACAGACCATATTTGAATATATCCTTTATAAGGATATTAATATACATAAGGAAACAATACAAATATGACTAGAAGAATTTTATTAGTTGTGAAATAAATCTCATTCAGTATGTACACCAAATGAATTACGTGTCTTTGCGTATTTGGTTGAGTTTATTCTTCATTTACATTCCTCCCCTTTATTTGTTTTGAGTCGCCTTATTCTTTATAATAAGTGAATAGTTCATCAAATTTAAAATAATTCTGATTTTAACATTTAATCTTATTTTTTGTTTAAATATATAAAGTGACTAAAACTCTAAATTGAGTGTTAATGATTCATATCAATATTATTTGTGTTTTCTTCTCAAATAGATTCTTTTCAAATTCAAGTTCTTCTCTTTTTAATAGGAAATATGGCTGTTGTTCTGGTACTGCTTGGAATGCTTCATTAAATAGATGCGTCGGTAATATTTTTTGTAATTATTTAATTAAATGAAAATTATGAAACGTCTTTGAAATAAACTCAATATTAGTAATTTAGCATATTTCGAGAATTCGATTAAAAAATGTTATATGTTTATATAATTACAAACACACCTTTTCTAAATGCATTACTCGATTAAAGAAATCAATTTTTACAATGTAAGGGTGAATGCAGCGATTGGTTAATTAATATTGCATTTACTATTACTATTTTTATCCATTATACATTTTACTATTCACTACTGAAACAATCATGAACATATGTCTTCTGTATGAAGATCCCAATATACAACTTTCAAAATATTTATCATAGAATGCCAACCAGGGTTTGTGGGGTTCCAGTGTACCTTTGCCTGTCTCTATCCCTATTATGGACAAGGATGTTTAAATGTCTGCAAATGTTCTGAATATGAATGCAAGCCCTCAACTGGTTGTTCAGAAATGAAGATCGAAAACATCTCAAGTCAGTATGAACTCTTTTTCATATACAATTTCACAATATATAATAAACTATATATAAGTTTATAAATGCATTCGAAAGATTATTTATAGTGACATTGAGTCATTTATCCTATACATGTATAATGAGCATGTTAACTTACAATGCATCTCCGTCGTTCAGATCTTTTAAATACGTACATGTGGATAAAGAATTTTCATGCTGAGCACTAGAATCATAATTCTACATGAATGTTAAATAACAGATTTGAACAAACTACTTTCTTTATCTCTCAGGGAAACCTTGCTTGGATATAAATTCTTTAACGGTTCTGAGTAACATTACCGTTGAAATTTCCAGAGCAATGACTCTTTAATTGCCGAAACACATAGTCCAAAATATCTGAAGTTTCAGGCTCAAAATTTTAATATTCTATGTGCCAGGAAAACGTCAAAAGCGTTGCCCCCTACGAAAATGGAAATTTAACCGTCTCCAACCGGTTTTCATGTTCGATACTTGCGAACTGAATTATATGCCCAACTTACAATTTCTCAATAGTACAATGCTTTTATTGCTAAACAATATCAATTAAAAGAAAATATCACTCCATGTTTCGACACAAATTTTGCAGAATCTTAAAATGTATTTGCTGTACCGATGTTTGTGAGTACTAAACGCATAGTATTATTTACACATTGTGAATTCAGCATTTAATTAGGTTTGCAAGTATCGAAAATCAACCCGAGATTGTCGCCTTTAAGAGGAGGCGGCTTATTCCCAATTTACCTAACAGAACTCGTTCTGACGTTTTCCTGGCACGTAAACAATGAAGTTCAAATTAATAATAACAATATCTTATATTCTAAATTTATTTAAACCGGCATAAATAGAAACGTTCTTTTATTTTTAGTACGAGAAATAATGTGACGTTAACTGAAAAAAAAATCGCTAACCTTTATTCTTATTCTAAAACTACAACCAAAGGTTTATATTTTTATTGATCATGCACATTAAGTGTGCAGAAACAGTTGTGTGATTATTATTAATACTTTTTTTTGACATGAACAAAAATCCCAGCCCCATTTTGTATCTGTTGTCATTGTTTGATAACATTAAAACTTTCAAATATGTGTATTAGACCTGGGACATATGGTTATAAAATGTAGTATATGTTTCTTTATATGTCGAAACTTAATTGTGTAAGGCATTAATTGTCGACAGCATCCATGTCATCACTTTATAGCTATATTTTTTTGTAATCTACAGACATGATATCATCGGACACGTCCAGTATCCCTACAAATTTTTCAAATAACTTCAGTGAAGTTCTGAATGACAATGTCTGTAGTACATGCATCAGCTTCCCAACCTACGGTATTATCCTCATTGCTTTGTGTTTGGTAGGTTTGTTAATCTTAACAGGTTTCGTATCCTTCATTTTCACAAAATTATACTACACCAAGATCTGGGAGAAAAGAATAACGAATGAATATCAAGAGATGCAGAGGAGACAACTTTCCGAAAACTCTTATGAAAGAATAGATGTTGCAAATGTTTTCACGGGAATATCAAATGTCAACATAACGTACGAACGTTTAAATAAGCTGTACAGTATTAACCTTAATCAGGAAGGCTCCAATGCAGTTCCAGAGATCAGTTTACCAAATAACCCCGTGTATGATGATTGTATAAATATGGATTCAGGTTCTTCCGCTTAGACCTTGATTATGGAAAAGGAGACTTACATGAACTTTAATATAATACAAATACATTTTAGTCATTTAATACTGATAAGTACGACTGGTACATTGCTCATTTTGAGAGTCTTTATTGAATAAAAACCGTTGCTAAGATAGGCATTTTCAACTTTCATGTAAGTATATTTTCACTTTTCTCCTCTTTGTCAGAAATTAACGGAATCCTCCGAACAGCTGGGTCCGCCGTCATAAAACTTTGAGAATTCTCGAAAAAAAATTCTCAACTCTTGAGAATTACTCAGGTGAGAATTTGAGAATAAAAGAGTTAAAGGTATTTTTATTTTTCTCAAACTTTTTATGTCGGCCGCTGAGTCTGAGAATTTTGGATTTGAGAAAATTCTCTGACTTAAGAGCATTCTCAGACTTAGGTATGTTTTATAACAGCGAACCCCGTTGTTTTTCTCATTCTATTTTTCTTTCTGGTTTTCTTACTCTTTTTTTCTCTGTCCTTTTCGGGGATTATGCGTGTGTGCATGATGATATTTGCGAGCAAAAAGATAGTGACGAGTTAAATTTCAATAATTTTGTTCGAAAAAAAATGAATAAACGAAGTATACATAATATCTTTAGTTATTTTGCACCAGATGTTATTATATACATTTTCAAGTGGTAACATTTCCGTTTTTAATATGAACGGAATGTATTTAGTGTGAATTTCATCAAAAATAGATCACACAAGTGGTTTGGAGGATATCATAGATTATATATCTAGTTTATAGGTCATATTTACATATATTTGTTTATTCCTATGAAAGTCTTGGTAAGAGAAAATCTATTTAGTTCATATTATTTCGTTAGGTATTTTGATTGTTCGTGCTTAGCAAACGTCATAAATAAATATTCTTGTACTTGAAGACATTGGAAAATACATTCACTACATATTCTTCAAATTAATATATACGTATATACTATGTGACTTGATGATTACCCTGTACGATACCAACTCGTGCCAGTTCAACATTTGCCTTATCGTGTCAGCAGACATTTAAGAATGATCATAATGATTACAATCCTTTATATCCTCATGTTCAATGTAAACTAATTTCACTGATTTTGTTTTTCTTCTTAAATCTTTAATCTAACTCTGCTGTTTGTCAACACAGGGATACCAGTTGGCAGTTTTTTGGGTATACAAGACGTCGTCTAAAGAACATAAAGATATAACTATGTTGATCATGTAAACAATATACCATTTTTATTTAAGCAAATTATTTTCAAATCACCATTCCTATCTTAGAAATTACCTGATGAAAAAGATTGGTTCTATCTATGCAAATATGACACTATTTTTTTCTTACCATCATTTAGATGGTTGATTGATTGATTGACTGTATACTGTTTAACGTCCCTCTCCAGAATATTTCACTGATATGGAGACGTCACCATTGCCGGTGAAGGGCTGAAAATTTAGGCCTGTGCTAGGCACTTACGGCCTTTGAGCAGGGAGGGATCTTTATCGTGCCACACCTGCTGTGATACGGGGCCTCGGTTTAAACGGTCTCTTCCGAAGGACCGCCCCATTTAGTCGCCTTTTAGACATGCAAGGGGGTACTGAGGACCTATTCTAACCCGGATCCCCACGGGATTCATTTAGATGGTAAATGAGAATGAATGAATATGTACTGTTTTGTTCATTATCAAGTATAAAGCTATATGGTAAACCTGTACAGTTCTTAAATTCGAAGATGTAAAACGTTATTATATGTTCTTTATGCTCAGAAAATTTGTTTTTATAATAAGACATAAAATGTTTCTGTCATGTTGTGAATTTTCAATTGACCAGGTGGCCGTACATAAAAAATTTAGTTCATGATAACTCATGTTGTAAATATTGCATTGACTATAGCTACCACCCGGTAAATTCAAAATTTACATTATGACCTATCTATCGCTCTCAACTTCGAAACCTATTTATAACTGAAGTTATATAATTATTTTTTTGTGTAATCTTGCCTATTTAAAAGGGACCTTTAGAAATTGAAGTATGGTTTATACATGCACCTGGAATATCAAAAGTAAATAATGTAAAAGTAAGCATAGCTATAACAATTTATTATTAATATTTAAAAAAAAACTCATTAATATCTGAGTTTATTCAAGTGACATTGTTAAGATATGCATCATGTAAAGTTAGATCATACTACAAATTTTATAAATCGGTTTAACACCTGATATACTGTATAACGTTTCTTATTTAAAATCAACATGTCTGAAGATAAAAGGTTAAAAGGCGGTTTTAAGATCTTTGCCCTTTGACTTTGTATGGAAATTGTTGTCAACTGAAAAGCACTTATGCGAAAAAAAACCTGTGTTATTGTTTAAGTGGTTTTAAGATTTGTATTCACTTAGCTTGTTAAACAGAAACAGAAGATGTTATTTCATCAGGAAATTCGGAGAACGACAAATTAGACAACACTGAGGCATGAGAAACATCACACAGCTACTGTAAAACGATCTTTATTTCATTTTTTAACTATTATTTTACAATTTGGTTTACGAGTACATGTAACGTTGTTATCCGGTACAAAGTAAAAATATCCTGGTTTACATTTTTCTGTACTTTTCTTCGTTAAATAAAAGTATTGTTATTTTTTTTCTTATTTTTTGTTACCTTTATTTTACTTTACAAGAGAAATATATGGGTATAAATTAATTCGAAATCTGATCGTCTTAAAAACACTGTAAGTATATAAGTTTCAGTACGCATTGCATAACTTTGTGTACAAACCTCCTTATGTCCAGTAAGAGGAAAAAAAATTAACACTTATGTACCCAACGCCTTTAGACTTGTACACACTAATCTTAAATATACACTATTCACGTTCATTTTAGCGTATGTTCAATATCTAACAAAGAAAAAAATTCAATGTCAACGTGTTTCAATTTTCCTTGGCCGTTTGTAGCTTTTCTAAATTGTAAAGGAAATTAAACATAGTTTGTTTTTTTTATATCGCAAACCTCAACAAATCATTGACTTTTTTTTTTAGTTTTGCTGAAACCTTCATATCTGGCTTAACCTTTGAATTATCCTATCTTACATTGCAATTTTTATAGAGGTAAAAAAAAGCTTCAAGTGGTTGATATTTTATCCTTTATCCCCCTTCCATAATGTTTTAGCATAAAAATGCCCCGGCACTCTCAAAATGAATTGTACATGTATAAACGATATCAGGTAAACAAAAAACTTTTTTTAAATATTAACCTATTCAAGTTAGCTTAAGCTGAAAATTCTTTGTTCCTTTATTTCATATCTGGTTTCTATTTTTGCCTTATTAGGTCTAATGTGATAACATACAAACTGGTATTTAAATTCTACACATGAGTAAATAATTTTACTTCTACATACCTCGTGAACAAAGGATGACCTATATTTCTGTGCATACATGCACACGTATGTGATTAAATCCCTTTACTATCCATTGTTACAAGAAAAATAACTCGAAAACACAATTATCTTCCAACGTCTACGCTGTTATCATTCTTTTCAAAGTTTATTTTGAGTTACAGTGTATGAAATAGTGTGCAGACTATCAATGAAATTGCACACACTTTAATACCTCATCTTAAAGAAATAAGTTTATTAAGCTGAGATAAAGTATAAACACAAGCCTTGAATCTATATATTAATAAAACATTTCGTATTCAAATTCAGAATAAAATCAAAAATAAAACAATAACTAAAAAACAAGGAATACATGTAATAAGATATATTTCGTAGTAAATTCATTCAATCACCACAATGTATTTTTTATAAAAGTTTACGGTACTTTTGTTTTAGGTTTCAGATTTTTAAAATCTCACAATTTTTTTTTATTGATATTTAAAAAAGACACATTTTCATGCACTGATTTTCAGATATTGTTACGAGATATATCATTATGATTTCTTAAAGAGAGTAGAAATATCATCACTTTATGTCAATAAAAATAACGCATTCACTCCTACATTTAGTAGTTCTTGCTCACGTTTAAGAATGTTTTTCACTCAAACTTTGTCCAAAATTGTGCTTTCATGCCTCTCCACAAGGGTTTTACATGTACCATGCAGGCCTATCATAACATAAATTTACTAAAGTTAACTAAAGATTATTACAGTTAACTATATTACACGTACATGTAAATACTTTGATTTACTGTAAATCTTTAATCTGTAATTATCCATTTTCAAAATTGAGCACAATGATTAATTAGTTTTGGACATATATAAATAAAATGTGTCATACAACATGAAAAAACAATTTCGTATGTCACGTTTTAAATAATCTTTCCATAATAACTGTATCGATTTTTAAAAAAAAAATACTTTCATATAGCTTCCTCCATGGTTAATTTTTCAAACGTGTATAACCCTGTTCTCATGCATTTAACTTGATTAAAAAAAAACTATCACTGCGCTTATCAATAAAAAAACTATACACGCTCATTTCCTGTAAAGAATTTAATATGTGATAATATATTAAATTAAAATCGACAGATGTTTCCAATATGAGCTATATCTACATTTATGTTCCCTCCTGTCATAGTAATCACACTGTATGAGGTTAAGGCGTATCTATTTTAGCAAAAAAGGTACAACGGAATATTGATATTAATTCAAAATAGATACGCTTTAAATCGAAATTTTATCTTTGTTAATTATATTACTTTAAGATGACTTTTTACATGACTTTAAAGTTGATAAATGTAAATTCCCACTACCACTTTTCTCTTATGTACGTGTAGTTTAACACTCAGCTTTTTTTCGAGGTGTTTGGAAAAAAATTCATTCAAATTCCACTTCCGTTATGAAATACTGACAAAGATCAAATTGTCAAACTCCCATTTGTATTTCATATAGAATCAATTAATGTAACACCAAAGAAAAAAATCTAGATCATTATAATAGCTAATTACATAAACATGGTTGCTTGTGAACATATTTTAATCATCTTGCTACAAATATCAAGCAAAGTCCATCTCTTTTATGGCTTTGAAATTTCAATTTGTGAAATGTAAATATCTATTTTATACACATTTCAACTCTCTTGTAACATAAACCTTCCTATCATTAACTGAGCAAAAATACTTGCAAATCTTTCAACTGGTGAATAATATATCAAGTTTGGTATTTGCAGTCCTGACTTGTGTCATTTCTGCATATGCATTTATTTAAAATTTCTTCTCAACAATAATCTTGGCA